CTCAATGACAACACTCAGCCAATGCTGGATTATCAGACGCCACATCCCGAAGAAGCGGATCTCTTCTTCGCCAGTATAAATTCCTCTTCGCATAGCAACTGTCAACGCTTCAGATGGGCATTCATGCCTCAAGAGGTGTCGCCGGTGGCCGAGCAGGAAGCCGCCTATCCTTTGGCCTTTACCATCGTCGCCCACAGAAATGTCCGCCAGTTGGCACGTCTACTTCGCATGATCCATCGTCCCGCCAACTTCTACTGCATCCACATTGACCGTCGAAGCGCACCGGTGTTTAGCCAAGCAGTGGAGGGGATTGCAACCTGTTTTGGATCAAATGTGCACGTGGTACCAACGGAGTCCCGAGTGGCGGTAACTTGGGGTGATGCCACTGTGTTGAAACCGCAGCTTTTGTGCGCAGAAATGGCTCTGAAGCAGTCCGGCTGGCGATATCTGCTGAATCTAGCAGGGGAGGAGATGCCCCTGCGGACCAATCTAGAGCTGATCGCGGCAATGCAAGCACTGAACGGATCTAACCTGGTGGAGGGTGCAAGGTTAGGAAGCTACATCTATCGAACTGGGGGTGTTAAATTACCGAACCAGGTACGTAATGTATTCATTTATGTTTTTCTTTCTTTAGATCAATCGAAGTATTCCGAAATAAGTTTTGAGCACAACGTGATAGACTGCTTTTTTTACCGAATTCCATTAAGTCGATTGGAGAAGTAATATTTTACTTTGGAGGCCTTAGGTTTTATTAGCCGGACTTAAGTAGTGGTAAAGTGAATTTGCGGTACAAGACACGCCTACAGTTAAAGTCTTTAACTTATGCCATTCAGGGAGAACTTTGACTAAATGTCCATTTTATTAGTTGGTATGTTATCCTCAACCAAATAATCTGGCCTCTTACTTTTTGAATATTTTCCTGGGAAGGAATTTCTAAGTCAATATTTTGCCCTTCACTTTTTCCTTTGGGATGGTACAAAAGTGGTCTACTCCACTTTTCGCACGTTGCCTTGGTGTTAAATTGTCATTATTGTGTTGGTAGTAATCTATCGTGCGTATTGTTTTACGGAAGTAAGCTTTAGAAATACTCTGACCTTGGCGCGGCTTTCGAATTTGAGCCACCCATTTTTTTGCTCTCCATTCAAGTG